CCTGTCCTCATGGCTGTCCACTGACCGACCGTCCTCACGACTGTCCTCTGACCCCCTGTCCACACTACTTTCGTCTGAGGGGGTGAAAGGAAAGTGGCCTTCGCACCTGTCCTCTAACCCTGTCCTCTAATCCAGTCCTCTAATTCTGTCTTTCCTCTGTCCCTCTGGAGGAGTGGACAGACTCTCTCCCTCTGTCCCTCTGTCCCTCTGTCTTCTATCCTTCTATCCCTCTGTCTCGTCGTTTGCTCTAGGCTCTGGTCTCAGGCCGGTGTGTGAGACAGAATGTGGGCCAGAGGAGCAGAAATAGCAGCGGCACAGATTTCATTCAAGGTCACATTGTATTTAGATTTGATCTGATTCTGAATTCTCCGAGAACACAAACTTCACTTCACTTCTCCTGTTCTCCTGACGAGCTTCACACTTTCACCGGATGCTCAGTCGAGTCGAGCGACGGTTTCAGCATTAGTTAAAACTTTACAGACAGCATTTTTCTGCGATGGGAAAACATTCTGAGTCAAGCCTGAGGTGTTTGCGCTATGAGGCAAGAGAACTCACCACATATTATTACGACATATGTGTTTTGTTAGTATAGACGCCCCAACATAACATTAGGATTAAAGTGCTTCTCAAAAATAACAACAACATGAACATCATTTCTCAAGACACACTGCTTAAGAGAGTTAAACACCAGTGCTTCTACTGTACGAGGTCCCCTACCCCGCTGTATTCACCCAATCACACCGTAAAATGTGCAAAAAAAACCCGACAAAGTGAGGCAATTTAACACCTGCATTCTTGACATATTATCTGTTTCATAAACCAAACATCAATGACAATAGCTTACCACGTGCGACACCTGGTAATGAAGTTAAATGACTTGTTTATAACGCGATAATCGCTTCAAAGAGGCGTTTCGACACTTTGGAACTTTAGTACACGTTTGACGCGCCCACGCACGCACCAGCCCAGCCCAGTATGCCCCCCCCCCGATCGACACCCACAGTCCACCACCGCGGGTCAACTCACCTGAAAAGTCCATGTGTCCACTCGCGGGACATGTCCTGTGCCAGCCACTACGCGCTACGACGCATCACGGCGCGGCGCAGACGCGGCACGGGCGCGACGCGGCGCGACACACCCCCGGCACCGCTTCCACTTCCGCGTGCACAACACGAGCGTCACCTCAAACACGGCGCGTAAACATTACAACACGAGCAGGTTCAGCTGTTTAACTTATCAGAGCTACGCCCACGGGTCACCGGAGTGCAGCGTGTCTGAGCCTGAGCCGCCGGAGCTGAACGCACCCGAGACGAAACAACTACAGATTAGTGCGCATGAGTGTCCGCGGTAAAACCAACAACACTCAGCAGCTCATGTGGAGTGAAAAGAGCTGCACTTTTAGTAACAGTTTGACACCTTTACAACAAATCACGGAAGATTATTTTAACATATGATACGAAATGAAATACTGGATAGGAGTTGGATGCAGCAAATTACATCAGACTAACGCGACACTCCGCATTAAAAAGCGCATTTGCAATAAAAATAAATCACTACTTTTACTCCACTCTCACAGTTTGCAGGCATGACAACAGTCTGCTAATAACACTGTCCAGCAGCTCCATCTGCTGGTGTTGTAAGGCAATGCATGGGCCCCACTGTTCACTGGTTTTAGCACAAATATTAATTACATTTTTATGTAATTAAAATTACATAAAAATTTAATTTTTATTACCGGTTATGTGTGTGCCAACTTGTGTGATGATTGGGTGAATATTTTAGCCCGCAGACGGTTCAGAAATTGCCGAAATTGCCCTTATCCTTTTATAATAGCGTGATCTCAAATGACCTTGGATAGTCACCAAACTTTTTTTTTTGTGGCATCGGACACGGGGGCTTGACCCACGTACTAAATTTGGTGACAATCGGTCCATAAATGGTGGAATTATCGCGGGCGAAAAGACACACAGACACACAGGATGAATATAAAACCTGGTCAACCCTTCGAGGACCAAGTAAATATTCTTAGCTGAATAATAAAGGCGTGGGCTATTGGTAGTGTTGGGAAGGTGACTTTTAAAGTGTATTCCCCTACAGATTACAGATTACATACACCAAAATGTAGTTTGTAACATAATCCATTAAATCACTTAAGGTGAGTAACGTAATCTGAATACTTTGGATTACTTGATTCGCTGTAGAGAAGCAAAGACCAGGATATCGTAACATAAGATGTTTTTTCTGCTAAAAGAAAATAAAAAGCCCAGACTTTAGTTAACCAAATTAAAAATATTATTGATAGAAAAGGAGGAGACACGTCCACACAGCATGATTTAGTCCTGTTAAATCCTGTTTGAGACATAGTTTATACCTGGTTTTAGCCCTGGTTTAGTCCTGGTTTAGACCTGGTTTGAGACCTGGTTTGAGACCTGGTTTGAGACCTGGTTTTAGACCTGGTTTAGACCTGGTTTAGACCTGGTTTTAGTCCTGGTTTAGACCTAGTTTAGACCTGGTTTTAGTCCTGGTTTAGACCTAGTTTAGACCTGGTTTTAGACCTAGTTTAGACCTGGTTTTAGTCCTGGTTTAGACCTAGTTTAGACCTGGTTTTAGACCTAGTTTAGACCTGGTTTAGACCTAGTTTAGACCTAGTTTAGACCTGGTTTTAGTCCTGGTTTAGACCTGGTTTAGACCTGGTTTAGTGTCCGGCAATGAGTGGAATTACCGAAAAAAAAAAAAAAAAAAAAAGGGATATAGCCCAAAATGTGAAAATACCTCTGTGTAATCCATTTATTTCAACAAAGTAACTGTAATCCAATTACCACTCACTGAAACAGTAACTGTAACCGAATACAGTTACTCATAATTTGTACTCTGATTACATAACTCTGGTACATGTAATCTGTTACTCCCCAAACACTGGCTCTTGGACTCGTGTATTTTATAATCTGCATATTTGTGATTAAAGAATGACAGACTTTCACTGCACTACAGCAGACAAACAGAGCTGTGGCTGTTAGAGTCCAGGCCCTGAGTGTGTTTTTGTCGGGGAAGCAGCGTCTGATTGGCTCGTTCGTGACTGCCTGTGTCTTTTCTGATTGGCCAGTCCAGCCCTTCTCTCTAACCTCAACCACGTCCCCCAGCCAATCCCTAACATTAACCTGAGCCCTGCAGCGAGACAGGAACACTGCAGCCAATCAGAGCGCGCGCTTTCCCTGCCGGCTTCCTGTCCTGTGGAAAATATGACTAAGTAGGAGATAAGTGCAGCAACACCTTCAGAAGTGAGATTGGCGGGAGCCCAAAAGCAACAATACCTGAACAATAGTCCAGTGTCTGACAGTGAAACGCGAGGAGAACACAAGTTATAACGTTCACTAGGGATGGGCTGATACACGTTTTTAACCGATACCGATATTTGGCCTGCTGCTGTGGCCGATAATTGATATTTAGCTTTTAAACTCCATATTAAAACATTTATCTTAACTTGAAGATAAGATCACACACTGACTTTTCACTTGTATTTATCTGGGATGTACAATAATATGTTACAGGTTTGTGTAAAAATACAGCCATATAACGCTTAGTCACTCAGTCTGTTCAAAAAGGGCACACTTTTAACCACCACTAGAGCGCTTAGGACAGGGGTGTCCAAACTTTTTTCATCAAGGGCCACATGTCTAAACAAAGACAAAGCAGAGGGCCGATCGGGGGCCGTAGACTGGTGCTGAATACAGTGAATAATTGAAATATGTGCATGTTTCACACGTTAGAACAACCTTTTATTCATGCTAAGATCCTTAAAACCACACACTAAATATTAAATATTGGTTTTATCAACATAGATTTTCAAAAAACTTGAAGTAAAAAGTTAATATTTAATTGATGCAAGGTAATTTGGGCCAGTTCACCTGGAAATTTAAGGGCCAAGAAAAATTTGTCTGAGGGCCGCATTTGGCCCATGGGCCATAGTTTGGACATGCCTGGCTTAGGACTTCTAAAATGTGGTGGTATGTCGCAGTCAGTCTTGGGAGTAATGCGTTATAAAAGTAACAGAGTACTGTAATACGTTGCTTTTGCTGTACCGCAGTAATGTGGCATTACAGGAAAAAAAATGTGAATATAAATGTTAATATTTTACTCTTACTGCTTTTTTAAGATGGATTGAAGTGGTGGGTTTTTTGTTTTTCTTTATACAAATTTGCTAAAATCACCGCGATATCAGCAGCGGTGAAACAGCGGAGGTGCGCCCACGAAGACCGTCGTGTGACCACGGGAGAAAGGACCGACGCAGAACTCCACGCAGCCGACGCCCGATCGCGCTTTCTGGACACCCTGCTCGGGGTTCTTTCAGGGGCGCTCCTAGATTCCAAATTCTACTCCGAGATTAGTCCTGGTTTAGTCCTGGTTTAGTCCTGGTTTAGACCTGGTTCAGCTCTGGTTCAGCTCTGGTTCAGCTCTGGTTCAGCTCTGGTTCAGCTCTGGTTCAGTCCTGGTTCAGTCCTGGTTCAGTCCTGGTTTAGTCCTGCTTTAGGTCCTGGTTCGGTCCTGGTTCAGCTCTGGTTCAGCTCTGGTTCAGCTCTGGTTCAGCTCTAGTTTATCCTGGATTAGACCTGGTTCAGTTCTAGTTTATTCTGGATTAGACCTGGTTCAGTTCTAGTTTATTCTGGTTCAGTCCTGGTTTAGTCCTGCTTTAGGTCCTGGTTCAGCTCTGGTTCAGCTCTGGTTCAGCTCTGGTTCAGCTCTAGTTTATCCTGGTTTAGACCTGGTTTCAGTCCTGGTTTAGTCCTGGTTCAGTGCTGGTTCAAGTCCATATAGAAATGGTGACCGTAGACTTATGAACTGGACTGTACACTTTCTCTCCTTTGTCTCATTTCCGTGGGTCCAATCTCACGTTTCATCTTGTGGATATTGTGCCTCTCCCACCCCGACTGTCCGTATTATCAACACAGACGGCACTGAATAATTGATAATATGGACGTAGATGATCTGTGAGTGGTTCTTACCGAGTACGCCCTCTGCCTGCAGCTCCGGGAAGTGCCCCTCTGACGGGACGCTGACGGTCCGGCGTAAACTGCGAGCTTTTGCCGAGTCTGTTGAGGCGTCCCGGGACTCTCCAGGCGCCTGGGACGACACACATGGACCACATTACATTTAGGAAAAAAGATCAGACAGATAGAAAGATAAATGCGCGAAGGAATTTCATTTTTCAGCAGCAACAATGATACAAAATAATAATGATAGTACAGCAGGAATTCAGTTTATAGAGATGAGTTGAATAGTTGTTTGGAATGTGAAGCAAACGACTTCCAGAGTGTGTCCGTGGAGCAGGACAGGGACAACATCCTGTCCCCAAAGGTGCTCCCTGTCCGGTGATGATGATGTGCAGGGGGGGCTGGGGGTTCTCCAGGATGGACAGGAGTTTGTTTAGGAGCCTCTTCTCAGCCGCAGATGTGAGTGAGTCAAGCGCTGCTCCACTACAGATCCACCAAATTATCCAACCACACAGCTTTTCCTTCTTCTTGTGGCTTCCTCCCCAGCAGACCAAAGAGTTGAAGGGGACACTGGAGATAACTGCCTGGTAGAACATCAGCAGGAGCTTCTGGCAGATGTCTGTATGGTCTATTATCGAGCTGTAGACCCAAATCCTCTCCACACACTCTTTGAGACATTGTGCCAATCTTCCTTGTCAAAGCCTGATCTCCTCAGATCTCAGAAGTTAAGCAGGGCTGGGCCTGGTCTGGACTGGGATGGGAGACCACTGGGAATTCCAGGTGCAATAGTGTCACAAAACTGTTGCAGTGTTCTTAGGCAAGACACTTGCCTCGTATGAAAGTGGTGTGGAAGTGGATTGGCAGCCTCGTTTCTGTCAGTCTTATTGTTCTGTCTCTATGCAAGACACTGCTAAAAACGTTCTGTCTGTAGGAGGATTGGTCACAGAGTTTGATGGCACAGATGGGCAGCCCCAGATAACATTAATGTAAAGCAGTTTAAAGCAGGTACCGTATTTTTCAGACTATAAGTCACACATTTTTCATGGTCTGCGACTTATATATTAAAACTTTCATCCTGGACAGTGGCGAGAGGCTCTAGTCTTGTGTGTGAGTATCTGCTGCTCCTGTTCCTCCTGTGCCACTGTCACTTTGCTCTACTGCGCATGTCTCCTGCATGTGTCCTGCTGCAAGTAGTGAAATATGGAGCCAAAAACAGTAAACGAGCAGCAGAAAGAAAGATTGGAGTGAGCGAGAAACTTGCGAGGGACTGTTTTAAAGCGGGGATGGAGAACACAGCTTCATGGTAACCGGGAGGATGCACCATGAAACTTTCCTGAAGTCACTGGATGGATGGACAAAGCCTGGACTTCAGTGACACCGAAACCATCCTGTCGGGATTCAGAAAGACCTGAATAATTCTAACCAGAACTGATGCTGAGTTTGACGACAGCGACACAGAAGAGGAAGCGTCGCTCTGTTTACCTCCGGAGGTTGCACAGAAGTGACACCAAGGATGCAGAATTGAATGGATTTAGTGATTTGGAGTGAGATGGAGAGTTTGGTAAACTTGTTCTGTTCTCTTGTTTATGTTAAAGTTATCTGAAGAACTGTTCATATGTGATGTTACCAGCCTGTTGTGCAACTTATATATGTTTTTTTCTTCTTCATTACTCATTTTTTGGCTGGTGCGACTTATACTCCGAAAAATACAGTACTACAGAAAGCCGAGGCTGTGTTGTCCCTCACCTCTTGGTCTCTGGTGATCAGCAGGAGTTGCGTGTCGGTGAGGACGCAGAACCGTCTCTCCCAAACACAGTCGGAGATCTGCCCACAGGAGAAGCGGTGAGCAGGAGGGCCCCGCACATCTGCAACACAGCACAGGCAGAGAAGAGAAGAGACGGTGTTCAGACCCTGAAAAACTCACATGACCAAAAAACACTCGCAAGATGTGACCGTAATTTAGGCCAAAGAAGTATAGCAAATGATTCACTTTTCAAACAGGTTTTAAGATTACATTTGAACATGAACAGAGACTTTAAACAAAACCATTTAAAGGGACTTTGTAGCGGTGCTTTTATAATTTAAAAAAGGTAAACACTCACACCTGAACCTGCGTCACCAGAGTCTTAACCTGCAGACAGAGACACATCCAAGTTTGTGTCATTCTCAGTTTATTTATGTTCAGGCCTCATGAATCCGTGTATCATTCATTCATTCATTTTTCAATATAAAACCAAAAATAAGAAAATGAAAAAACAACAGTTTTTTTCATTATTTGTCTCCAAAACCAAAATGAAAAAAGGGATAACGTTTCGTTTTTTAAATTTTCGATTTTGTGTTTAAATGAAGAATGGAAAAAACGGATAAAGGCCGTTTCCCGTTTACGTGACTTCCGTGACTTCCGTGACTGCGATGCCGAACTTCTGCACTGTATACAGACTGAACCAGGACTGATCCAGGTCCAGAACCACATCGGGACCAAAGCGGGACCAGAGCGGGACTAGGGCGGACTCCGAGCTTTGACTCCGAGCCTCCGCAGGGTCTGAGCCTCAGCTTCGAGCTCTGGCCCTGCCGTGGGCTCTGAGCCTCCGGCCTGGTCCCCGCCTGGTCTCGGTCTGATCCCAGCCTGGTCTCGGTCTCGTTCCGGTCTCAGTTACAGTCTGGTCCTGGTTTCAGTTCTGGTCTCGGTCCGGTCTCAGTTACAGTCTGGTCCTGGTTTCAGTTCTGGTCCCGGCCCCAGTTTCAGTCCCAGTTTCAGTCCCAGTTTCCCAGTTTCAGTCCCAGTTTCAGTCCCACTCTGGTCCCGCTCTGGTCCCGGACCTGGATCAGTCCGTATGCAGTGTAAAAGTTCGGCATCGCAGTCAGAGAAGTCACATAAACGGGAAACGGCCGTTATCCATTTTTTCCATTTTTCATTTAAACACAAAATCAAAAACTGAAAAAAAAAATCATTATATGTTTTTTCATTTTGGTTTTGGAGACAAATAACGTTTATTTGTTTTCTTATTTTTGGTTTTATATTGAAAAACGAATGAACGAATGATAAACGGATTCTCATGTGGAAGCTCAGAACCTCCAAGAATTCCCTCCCTGAGCTGCAGAGGCTGCACTAGCACAGATTAATGACTTGCTGTGGGTGCTCGAGTCCTTTTAGGATTACGCCAATTCAATTTCAGCATTGAAAGTGGCAACCCGAGACTCATGTGAGGCTCATTTTGCTTTCTGATTGCGTAAAAGGAGAAGTTAGTGAGTGAGTTTGCCGAAGATTTTGTGGGGTTTTTCTTTTTCTTTTTTCTAGATTTCTATGTAAAAAGGTCATGATTCACAAGTTCATTCATATAAATACACTGTTTCCTAGAACATTTTTGGTATAAATGGTTGTTTTCAAGTGAAGTCCTGTGTAGGTGTAGTTGTGCGTCAGATACATAGAAATAATAGTTTAAAAAGTAAAAGTTTTGAGAGATTTTTAGTCAAGTTTTAATCAATCAGAAGGACAAGTCTTTAGTCCACCAACAATGTCTTTACAACCCTACTTTGACACAATCTAAATTATTATTAAAACACAAATCGCAAATGTAATCGCACAATGCTTGTCAGAAAAATCACAGTCAAATATTTTTCTCAAATTACCCAATCTAGAAGTGAAGCAGGAACTTTATTTGAACTTTTTCACTTTTACTTGTGAAAAAGCTGTGACAAGCAATTTGAACTGCTGACAATTAAAGGCAGTCTTTCCACAACAGAATGTGATTTTCAACATTAAATCATAGCAGTGTTGTAGTCAAGACCGCACTAATCAAGACAAAGACCTGTCCGAGACCACAGGGTCCCACAGGGTCCCAAGACCGAGATTTTTATAGGCCAAGATCGAGACAAGACCGAGATTTTTAAAGGCTGAGAATGAGACAAGACCGAGACTTTTAAAGGCCGAGACTGAGACAAGACCGAGACTTTTAAAGGCCGAGACCAAGACAAGACCGAGATTTTTAACGGCCGAGACTGAGACAAGATCGAGACTTTTAAAGGCCGAGACTTTTAAAGTCAGAGACTGAGACAAGACCGAGACTTTTAAAGGCCGAGACCAAGACAAGACCGAGATTTTTAACGGCCGAGACTGAGACAAAACCAAGACTTTTAAAGGCCGAGACTGAGACAAGACCGAGATTTTTAACGGCCGAGACTGAGACAAGATCGAGACTTTTAAAGGCCGAGACCGAGACTGAGACAAAACCAAGACTTTTAAAGGCCGAGACTGAGACAAGGCAGAGATTTTTAAAGGCCGAGACTGAGACAAGACCAAGACAGTGATCTTACGATTAGATATGATTCAGTACGACGTATTTCAAATCGATTTGATATGGTTTAATAAAAAATAAAGGCTAAATCTTGACTGTGATACTAAAAGTCTTTGTTAAACCACTTCTTGTGCAAAGTTCATAAAAATTTTGAAAATTTAGAATGTGTTCCATAAAAGAAGAACAAAACTCACACTATAACAAAATTATTTAGTAAAATATATCAAAAAATACCCACGATATCGATACTGTATCATTAAATTAAATGATACAATTAGGGTTGTGCAGAAATATCGAAATATTGATGTTTAATGTGATGATACAGTATCAATATTGTGGGCTGCTCTATCGATATATCGCAAAGAGTAAATTATTTTGTTTCAGAGCTACAGTTTTATTGCTTATTTAGAGGAAGGAAACTCATTTATGCGACACGTTTGACATTTTCACAGTTTTTATGATTAAAATGTTTGTGTTTCATATGAACTTTGCACAAGAAGTGGTTTAACAAAGACTTTTAGTGTCACAGCCAACGATTTAGCCTTTTGTGTTTTTACTGAACAGCATCGAATCGGTTTGAAATATATCATATCGAACCAAAAGTACACTGTTGAGGTATGTATCGTATCGTGGGCTATGAATCGAGGTATGTATCGTATCGGCAACTACTTAATGATACCCAGCCCTAGATTCAATATTTTTGTACACCTTTACGAATGAGTATCTAGTTTCGAGATACATTTTAGTACCGATTCGTGCCCGATTCTCGATACTTTTGAGCCCCCTACCCACCAGAGCCGCTCCTGTTGGGTTGTAGAGTTGAGAACCTCCAGGCAGAATCGTGCAGTCTCTCCCCTGTGCGTTCGACCGGGTCAGACATGGAGCGCACAAACTCCGGTCTGACTCTCCTCTCCTTCTTCGCTCTGAACAGCCTCCTGTACAGCGACTCCTTTCCCACGCCGGCGGCCATGCTCCTACAGTCGCCCACGAGCCCCAGTTTAGTCCAGAAGTTAGAGTTTAGAGTCCCGGTTTAGACCCCTTTCAGAGCAGCTTTCGTTTGGTTCCGCTTTTGGAGTGGGTGAGCGAGCGAGCGGCTGGTTTTCAGAGGAAGTGCAGTGGAGCCGTGTCGTCCAATCCGCTGTCAGCGCTGTGACAAACTGTGGTTTCGCTCAGACTACATGTGGTAACAGCTCTGTCCCAACGCAGCCAAACAGCGTGGTTAAGACTTAGACATGATGTTCTTGTAGAGCGGAGAATTTGTATGAAACTCGGGTCCGCTTAACGGGGCTCTGTTCACGCTTACGTCACAAACCAGGATTGGAAACTTGCGATGACAACTTCCGGCGGGCTCCGTTCGCAGTATTAAGCCTGACAAAATCTAGGAAAATTTAAAAATGGCCCAATTTTCTTCACCTAAATGTCAAATATTGTGATTTCGTATCGTCAAAAGTCTCACAATAATATCATGGACCATCACAATATACTGAATCACAAGTTTCTTTGCTTAAATGCATGGTTTTATAGTAGCAACAGTTTATAAACATCTGGAACTACATCTCCCATGATTCATTTCAGCGCAGACAACATGAAGAAATATGGTTTTACTTGAATTCTTGGGATTATGACGGAAATAATTCACCCCAAAATCTTCTCAAGGTATTTTAAAAGCAGAAACTTCTACAATTATATCAGCCTCTCCAAAATATCGTACCGAGAGATTTGTATGCAGTCTTTATTTTACTACTGACCACGTTTACTTCAGTGGGTTTGATCACAGTCGGTCGGTGAGTCCAGAGTCGGGAACTACGCCGGAAGTCGTCATCGCATGTTTCCAAACGTCTTCCTGGTTTGTGACGTAAGCGTGAATAGAGTCTACACTACATTATGTTTTTGTTGTTGTTGGGGTTTTTTTTCCGATGAGAAATACAGAAGCAGACGTGCAGTAGGGCTGTGCAAAAATATCAAAATATCTATATATCGTATTGTTTAATGTGATGATACAGTATCGATATCGTGGGCTGCTGTATCGATAAATCACCAAGAGTATTATTTGGTAGGGCTGGGTATTGTTAAGAAGTTATCGATATGATATATAGGCCACAATACAATACACTTTTCGATTCAATACGATTCGATATGACATGTTTCAAATCGATTCTATATGGTTCAGTGAAAAACAAAGGCAAAATCATAAAAGTCTACCAAGTTTGTGCAAAGTTAATATGAAAAACAACCATTTTACTCATCAAAACAGTGAAAATGTCAACACAACTGTAGCTCTTACACAAAATGAATTTAGTAAAATATGCTTAAAAATGCTCTCGGTGATATATCGATACAGCAGCCCACAATATCGATACTGTATCATCAAATTAAACAATATAATATATTGATATTTCAATATTTTTGCACACCTCTATTTTTTGGTATATCTTACTAAATAATTTTGTTACAGAGCTACAGCTTTGTTGCTTGTTTAGAGATGTGACATTTGACATTTTCACTGTTTTTGTGGTTGAAATTTTCATATTCACTTTGCACAAGAAGTGGTTTAACAAAGACTTTTAGCATCACAGTCATGATTTAGGCTTCATTTTTTGATTGAACTGTATCGAACTGATTTGAAATTTATCGTATCAAATGGAAAATGCACTGTATCGAGGTATGTATCGTATTGGCAACATGCAGTGCTGCCCTCTAGTGCTCTGGTGAGACTCTTGATCACTTTAGGCCCAAATCTGAAGCAGAAAGAAAGTTTGGAGTAAGCGAGAAACTTGTGAGGGACTGGTGGAAAGCGGGGATGGAGAACACAGCTTCATGGTAACTGGGAGGATGCACCATGAAACTTTTCCTGAAGTCACTGAATGGATCGACAAAGCCTGAACTCCAGTGACACCGAAACCATCCTGTCGGGATTCAGAAAGGCCGGAATAATTCTAACTGGAACTGATGCTGAGTCTGACGACAGCGACACAGAAGAGGAAGCGGCGCTCTGTTTACCTCTGGAGGTCATGGAGTTGCTCAGAAGTGACACCGAGGATGAAGAATTGAATGGATTTAGTGATTTGGAGTGAGATGGAGAGTTTGTTAAACTTGTTCTGTTCTGTTGTTTATGTTATAGTTTATCTGAAGAACTGTTCATATGTGACGTTAACAGTTTTTTGTTCTCTGTTCTACTGTTATTACTAGAACTTGCCATTCATGACGAAATGTCAGTTCCTGGTCTCCGATTTTATAAAACACATTTCCCCAAAAAGTGCGACTTACATGTTTTTTTCTTCCTCATTACACATTTTTTGGCTGGTGCGACTTATACTCCAGAAAATACAGTACGTCTGCAATAGTTCTACAGACTATTTTGTTCCAATATTGCAGGTTCAACTGATTGTTGAAAAGAAAAAGAAATGGGCTAAATTTAATGTCCAAATAGGCGACTTATGGATCCTTTTATTGCTCGTTCAATTACTTTTTTTTTTCACTGTTTAATACTAATTGTTCAGAGAGACAGGATCACTCAGTCAACAATAAAATACCCTCATTAAAGTTCAATAATGGTCAAATCCACCTTTATTTTGTCATTTTCAAAAAGTTCGGCAAACACTGATCCACTCCAATGAAATGAGCGTAAATCTGCCCACAGAGCTCAGAGCTGGGTGCACTTGTTTGCCCTGGTGCAGTGTGGGACATGTGCACACCATGTGGAGCACGTGGACACGCACAAACAGGAGGCGCGGTGGTTCCTGCTCAGGGGTGTGGCTGCACGAGCGGAGCCACGGGTCAGGAGCAGAAGAGCAAAACACGCAGCCCGCTCATGTTTGTGGTGGAAGATCTGCCGATTCAATTACAGGGGTTTATTACTTAATCACACTCGGTCAGGCTGAGTCACCTGCTCGTCTCCGCGGAGAGGGAGTCGTTTAAAGCTGCACCGTGGGACATTTGGGGTCCGGGGGGGGGAGGTGTGAGGCTGCGGGTCGGTCGAGGTTTTGGACGTCACGCTGCAGTGGAATTCTGTCCGTTTCCTCACAGACAGGAGTCCCCCACCCACAGGGGACGCGAGCGGAGCACAGAGCTGCTTCCTCTGCAGGGGACAGGAATAACTACAGCCACCGGGGCAGAGGGGAGGGACGCAGGGCAGGGGACACAGGGGCAGAGGACACAGAGGGACGGAGGGCAGAGGACGGAGGGGCAGAGGGGCAGAGGACACAGAGGGACGGAGGGCAGAGGACACAGAGGGACGAGGAGGGGACAGGGCAGAGGACAGAGGAGGCAGAGGACGGAGGGGCAGAGGACACAGAGGGACGGAGGGCAGAGGACAGAGGGGCAGGGGTACAAAGTACAATGGACAGAGGACAGAGAACAGAGGATAGAAAACAGAGGGGCAGAGGACACAGAGGACGCAAAGGACATGGGGGCAGAGGGACAAGAGGACAGAAGGGCAGAGGAAGCACAGGACAGAGGGGCAGAGGTAACAGAGCGACAAAGGACAGAGGGGCAGAGTTTGAAGGACAAAGGACAGAGGGGCAGAGTTTGAAGGACAAAGGGGCAGAGGACCCAGGGGCACAAGGGCAGAAGGGCAGAGGACAAAGGGACGGAAGGCCGAAGACAGAGTGGCAGAGGTAAAGACAGGCAGAGGGACAGAGAAGAGGACACAGAAGACAGAGGGGCAGAGGACAGAAAGGAAGAAGTACAAAGTACAAAGGGACAAAAGACACTGGGGCAAAGGACAGCAGGGTTGAGGACAGAGGACGCAGAAGACACAGAGGCAGAGGACACAGGGGCCGAGGACAGAGGTCAGTGGTACGAAGGAGAGAAAGGCAGAGGCCAGAGGGAGAGAGGACGCAGGGGACAGAGAGGCAGAAGGACAGAGGGACAGAGGACGCAGAAGGACAGAGGGACAGAGGACGCAGACGGACAGAGGGACAGAGGACGCAGAAGGACAGAGGGACAGAGAGACAGAAGGACAGAGGACGCAGACGGACAGAGGGACAGAGGACGCAGAGGGACAGAGGGACAGAGAGACAGAAGGACAGAGGGACAGAGGACGCAGAAGGACAGAGGGGCAGATGGACAGAGGACGCAGAGGGACAGAGGACGCAGAGGGACAGAGGACGCAGAGGGACAGAGAGATAGAAGGACAGAGGGACAGAGGACACGGGTTGAGGACAGAGGGGCCGAGAGGCAGAGGTACAAAGGACAGAGGGACAGAGGACACAGAAGACAGGGAGCAGAGGTACAAAGGACAAAGGACAGAGGTAGAGAGGACAGAGGACAGAAGGACAGAGGACAGAGGACAGAGGGACAGAGGACAGAGGGACAGGCCATGTCAGAGGAGATGCTGTGGACTGGACTCAATTTAAAGACACTACATTCTGCTCTGTGCTTCCTTGAATTCTGTCATTTTGATGAAAATCTAAAAAGGACATATTCCATTTTGTGTCTTTCTTCTGTAAAGAAACACTACGTAACATTTCTGCACAGTCCATGGACGTGTTACTGCTTTGCCTGGGAGGTTCCAATGTAAAGTTACTAGGACTGTAACGATATCCAAGTCTCACGATACGATATTTACTGCGATATCGTGGGAAAGCTCACGATTAGGGATGTAACAATATCCAAATCTCTGTACGATATTTTCACGATATGCATCTCACGGTACGATATTTATTGCGATATTTTGAGAAAGCTTAAGACTAACTAAGACTTAAAAGTGTTAGAACTGTTATTTCTTCTTGTAGTCTGCACTGAAATGGAGCAAAGGATCATGGTCTATGTAGTTCCCTCTGTAATTTTTAGCTGTTGCTGCACCATAACTCTTAATTTCAGCAAAGAGACTTGTAATTTAATATATTTTGAGAAAGCCACGATGGATGAGTGCGACTGAAATGTTTGTTACTGCACGAGTGAACAAGTTGCAAGCTGCATTTTAATGTAGTTTTATTTGCAGACTGAACAAATCAGACAATGAAAATAATAACGTCACTCACACATTTGAGATTCAGTGCAATAAGGTATCAGTCCAGTATGTAGAGTAGGGATGGGCATGATTAGTGGATTAATCGATAATTGATCATTAAGAATTTCATCGATTACGTTCATTTTTAATCGACAAACCGAATGTAGGTTGCTGTGCGTAGCGTGACCAAACAGAGGTCTGTACATGTAGCTCTCTGTGCATCAGAAGGAGCGAAACACAAACAGTCGGTCAGTCTGCAACTTGCCGAAGCGCAAATGTGTATTTAACGATGACTTGTACAAGAAATTCCCCGTTTTCCGTTCCGGTCGAGACAAGTGTGAATCCAT